ACCCAGGCCTCCAGCAGTTCGCGTCCCGTCTTATTACTGGCTCGTGCCATTAGCCGTGTGTTCGAGAAGTTTAATTCATGGCCTTCCTTCTTTCAGCTAAAAATATGTTAATATTGTTGCAGGTGAACTTAAATTAGATAAAATTCAGCAATGGCATGAGTCCACATTTATAGTTATAAAGCAATGCTATTTTCTCAAGAACTTACCTTGAATCGTGTTTAAGCAAATATTCGGAACAGATAAGACGTGACTTCAATGAACAACAAGTTCACAAACAGTGAAACATGAGCGGTGACAATAACTGTGTATGCAGTTTGCGTGTGCTTATTTTGTGAATAGTACTGGAAAGCGGTAGACCATAGATAATTTAAAAATTTTGCTTCTGGGCCCGAACTTAAGTAAAGAATTGCAATAGCTTCGTGGTGTCTGTATGGTAACAGGGCTGCAAGGATTTCTTTGAGCACATGTCACGTCCTAACGTTATCCAACAGAACTCGCCCTACATCCACTAGTTGTGCTTTTTTTTCTTTGAGCCTGCGGGGTTTCTGAAACGGTGCTAATAATGAACAATCCGTTGTCTTTCCTTATTTGCGTTTTTTCGTCTTTCTTATTTAATTGTCATACCTGCAGACGCATTACAAACGAACTCAATTTTCACAATTTTCATAGTTACGGGATGATTCCCGTGGTATTGGGCGCCTCGAGAGAAGATTACTGTGCTATCGCGCCTCCGAACTCTTTCATTCACGTGGACGATTTTTCATCCCCGGCTGATTTGGCAGAATATCTACATTGGCTTGATAGGAATGACACTGCCTACGCATCGTACTTTGCTTGGAAGGCCTATGGCAAAATATCGGTAAGATCATTTGCCAGGTCTTTTTTAAGATTTAATTGCCAGATCGCGCTTGAATTAAGTAGTTTTCAATAGGTACGTTCCCCCTCACCTATGTATTTTCGAAGTACCAATTGGATTTTGTCATTCCGACTTTAGCGCCTGGCTGATTGATAAAAACACGTTATAAATCAATAAAGGAATAAATTTTTATATTTTAGCCTCCAGATGGCTCTGTCAAAACTGACATATTATTGAGGTAATATGATAACAATTAACACACTGGTACTTTAACAGAACCACCAGATATTACGTTCCAATGATTAATATGGTGGGCAGATCATTTCAAATCCGGCGGCTATTCCTCCATTAGAATAAATAGTTAATAACCTTTGGAAAATAACTGTGAACTAAGACCGATGCAGTGAGAAAAACTCCTACAAGGAAAGTGGGGACAGATTTTATAAAGTCCTAACATTAAAAATACTGCAGGAGATAAAACCTGCTTAGTGGAATTATATGGAGGTTAATACTGTAATTTCAGTCCAGAATGTGAGAATGAGACGTCAACGTAGTGCAATCGAAAGTACTAGCTCGCGTAATATTTTGCGGAAGAGCAGCAATGGCACGAAACGCCTCGACTTTTAAAATATGCGTCCGAAATTCGGATGCTGGTGAGCAACAAAAAACGATAGTGGTGTCAAGCGTGCGCATGCATATGGTTTTGATTATTCGAATGAGCTTGGATGTTAAAGATATAATGGTTCGTGGGGGACACGAGGCCAGACATTTTAATTTGAAGACAGTTTTTTTAATTGGAGATGGCCCTTTTTCGAAGTGATAGAGTAAGGTGCTCGGAAAAGATTAGGATAATAAACGATTAATCGAATTAGTGTTCAAATAAATGCGCAGTCCTTGCTTGAAAGCAAAAAGACTAGCCAATAACCTAATTCCCAAGGGCAGGTTTTTCCTAAGAATTTTTTTATCTAGAATCAAGGGGTAGAGTGCGTTGAGAAGTGAAAGATATAGGAGAGGCTACAATCAATTTAGGAGAAAGTTGGTTCTATTGACGACCAACGGAAGTAAGGGCAGAAATCCTGGAAAGGTTTTGGACCATTTCGAAGGGTAAAAAGGAGCGAGAAGCCTGCTTCCAGTCTCCGAACTCAGATAAATCTTTAGTTTAATTAGTTGGTAGAAATTATTCAAAAGTGTCGGCTATAATAGTTTTTTGTAAGATATCTCTGGTCATTTTCAATTTTTGAGCCGTTGGACTCGTTCATTAAACCAAAAATGGGCAATATTATGCAAGAATAAGAAGCACAGAGAGAGGATAAAGTCCTAATTTCAGGAAAGCAGAAATTATCAGAAATAAAGCCGCAGATCTGGGCAACTTTGGCCGTAATTGTATCGGTGTGAGGCGATAAACCAATTTAGTGATGTAGCTTCAACCTAAGCCTTTTATGCTGAAGCATACATGCATTGGGCAACGTCGAAAAATATCTTGCTCGGGTAGCCGCTCATAATTAAACCACATGTAACGACACTAAGAGGATGGTTCAGTGAGCCCTCTCGAGCTCCAAGCAGAAAGGATGTGCAAGTGTGAAGGAACTGGTTTTACGCATCGTACAGCCTAAGCGTTAGAGAAGAAGTACACACGTTTGAGATAATCTGCATAAATATACGATTGGAATTGGTCAAATGTTGATGAAATACCATTAATGTAAAACAAAAAGAGAACCAAGTAAAGTACCGCCGGACACCATTAACCAAACAGTCGGTAACAAACACACATTCCTTAGTTGACCATACTGACCATCGCACAGTGCTTCGTAGGCAGCAGGCAAATCGATATGCTCAATGAACGGAATCCCCGGTCGAATAACATGTTCCCGCTATTAGGCGGAAAATGTAGTCCTGCGTCTGTCCTAACATTGCCGTCTTCTCGAAATCGAAGCTGTGCCCTGGTGAGGTCGCATGGGGAACTACTAAAAAGTTGTACATTTTCGTCTCACAGCCAACTCCTGTTCAGCAATAATGTACGACCTGTTTTACTGTGTCGCGAATGCAGTTGACTTGGTCACTGTCGCATTCTCCCCGTAAAATGATATAAAAGTCCTCAGTAAATGGAATGGGGTATTTAGGATGTATGCTTCGCCGGTAAATGGTAGATTCTGGGGTGTGAGCGACACAAATCCTAAATTCGCTCATCAATCTAGGGAATCCCTCGGACATGGTAGCAATATAAATCTCCGAACACCAGCATTTGGACAACCATTCGAAATGTTTTACTGCATAATGTCATATAATTACAGAGTAAACTGACCTTGTTTTAAACCTAACTCTTGTTCCAAACGTAAATCTAGCTCTCACAGTTATACTAAGATCCCTTACTCAACGAAACTTAATGACAGGCGTAATCACAGCGCTTACACGAACCCCTGGTTTTAGGCGGTAAACCCCATACAGTACTAGATATATATATATATATGCCTATTTCCGTGGACTACACAATTTACTGTGGTAAAATGGAGATATTTAATTCGGCTGAAGCTCTCAAAGAAAATACAAGTGATCGTATTTGAGCTGACACCCATCATAGTTATTGTTTGTAAAAGTAACTCTACTCATATGCTTAATTGTTAGCTTTTACGTGTCTTATCATTGAAATGAGTCATGCATTACGTAACTGTCACGAATCTTCTGTAGTTCAATGAATATAAATATTATTTTGAATAATATTTGTATTAAACGTTCATTTTAGTTTAACAGACGGAACGAGTGTCGCCTTTGTGGTTTATTGCATCAGAATCTCAATCGACTGGATGCTATTCCCACAAAGGGCTTCGATTACTTCGCCAACCCACATATACAGTGCAAAGTACTACCAGAATTTGAAAAAGAAGTCAACAACTGAAACGTGGGCTGCGAAGTCAAAAACATTTTGATTGGTTTTTATTAGTGTACTACATGGCTTTGAATCTTACCAAATATATATCTATTTAAATCGGTTGTTGTTAGCTTGTTTTACAGAACCAACACTCTACACATAAACTGCAAGTATTTGATTACTCGTATGTACTCACACTCCTTAAACTTGTCCTACTGTCAAATTTATGTCAAGCGGACAGTAATCATGTGATTCGAATTCGGGGGAATTGTTGGGACTTATTTCATTGTTTCATCTTACCCTTTACCTCCTATATATTATTGGCCCCTTCAAATATGCACTGAGGGAGTCACCGATTGTGTAATCAACACGTTGCCTAGTTCAGGCAGTAGATACAATCTTAAACTGGTTTTCGACTAATGTGTTAAGAGTAGAACACGACGGCGTGCGTACATAAAGTTCTGGCATCTTTGATAGGTAATTTAAGTTTCGAAAATTGGAATTCGGGACTACAGCAAAAAGACTGCATGATCACGGGCGTTACATACACAAATGAGACGACAGAATGTGCTTTTTAAACCAGGCCGGCAGTTAAGGTGTGCTGTGACATTCTGTATGTGTGATGTCTTTGTTCACTCATGGAGTCCAGTCCATGTGTTTTGAAAGATTTGTGATTTTTCCGTAGGGAAATTCGCGCGTATGAAATGGCAATTCACGATCAACACGTCATAGCCAGCAATTTTGTAGAACATTCGGGACTTGAAATAAATAATTTGACTCTGGATGATTTAAAAAACCAAATTTTTTTCAATTGCGATAAACGTATATGCTCCCAGGAGTAGTCTGCTCTCTCTTTCTATATAGCCTTGATAAAAATGTCCTAGTTATTTGTCGATAGAAGGCGACATGTCCAGGCGTCATGTCACTGAACAGATTCTAACTTGCAAGCCACCGTGTAATTATTGAGAGATGTGAGAAGCTGCGCGGTTTTTGTTAATTCGCCGTTAAACGTAGTCATTACTTCTTCTGAAAAAAAAAACGGCGTGTAGACATGGGGCTGCATAAGTTTGTCAAATGTATGCATTAACCAATGAAGTTCATCTTATATTTACAAAATTTAAAATGGGGTTTCCTAAAAATAAAGGTACCTGACGTAATTTTCCCCTTGTTTCCGCAGCGTATATTGTCCGTATTTATTACCGTAGATTCTCATAGCGGCTTCGTGCTCAATTCAGATGACCTTACCGCAACGACTATCTGCTCAATTCATAAACGTAACAAAGGTCTGGGAATTGCAAGCTATATTCTCGTCCTCATGAGCACCTACAGTGTTTTCCTTCAAAAGCCAAGTAGATCATAGTAGTGTAAATATTACTGATAGTAGTAGCAGGAGTATAAATTGCCTACAAAATTAGCCGATAATTCGCCGAAGAACACTAGCATTTATTACCGTCCTAACTGCTTCCGGCGCCCCCTACTAAAATGTAACTCCGATCTTTCTATTATCCTTCACATGTGATGGATAACAAACACCACCAAAAACGAGAGTGATGAGCAGGCTTTTCTGTTTAAATATAAGATTGCACGATTTTATTACGACAAACAGACTACTCCACACTACTCGCCCTATCATCTGAATACCAGAATACACGACAAAAGAGCAAACCTAACTAACAACCTTGCATGATCGAATTGAACAAGCGAGTTCAAGGAAACAGTTCAGAAAAGGATTGTATTGGCATAACCATTCTAAATTCTTACTCGTACCAACCATAAGAGAAAGTTGCGGCTATGGGTAATGGAGGAAAACAGTTCGCAGTATTAATTGCATGACGCAACTAAAGCAAATTAGAAACGCTTGCTATTTCAAGATTGGACGTACCT